TACTACTCACTAAGCAGGTGATCAAATGTACTTTGCGAAATAGGAAAATCAAGCGCTCTGTTGAAATATAATGATTGTACTATGTTCTCCATTTTCGTTGATTTAGAAAACGCAATTGCAAACATTTTTGAACGGTTGTTTTCGGTGGGGCGAAGCTAGTAGGAAGCCTATTAGGAGAAACTAGTGCTGTGGATCAAGCTAATGCTGTGTTTGTATGCTGATGCTGAAAGACAGCATATTTTCTTTTTTACTTTTGCCTGAATGACGGCACCATGCAGCCATATAAATGTTGCCATGGTGATAGCATCCATCAAAATTTGTGATCTAAAGCTTTTCGGGTAGTATATTTTATTTATTAAAGTCACAAGAATGCAAGTGCTTTTGCACATGAAGACCAAGTTTATCTCTATCATAAAAAAGACAGCTTTGGACCAATCATAGAGCCTGTAAACAACAACCACTGTAGATAGTACAGTACATAGTACAATATTATTTGCCCACTTATTACTTCTTAATTTTTTTTTATTTAAACATGTGAGTTGAGGTGAGATGAATGAAAAAGAAATCATTTTTTTTCATAGCCTTTTAAACCGTGGCATTACTTTTTTACCGTTTTGCTTTTTGTCCAATCCAACCCTCGCCAACTCATAAAAACTAAATATTCTGACTGTGCAAAGTTTCATAAAAATGCTGCCAAGAAACTTGATATCATATTTTGGCCAGATTGCCCACTTTTAGGAAAAAATCTCCAAAATTTTCTTCTGAAAGTAGCAGCTTTTTCCTCAGAACAGTGGCTGATATCTGGATTACAGTAAATACGTAATTGATAATGAGTCCTGGAGCCAGACTTCTTGGAGGGAAGAACAAGCCTCAAAATTCTTTTAGGAAATTCTGATTTCATGCACCAAATTCCAATGTTTTGTGCTGGCAATTCAATCAAAGGCTAATGATGACTTGGAAATAAACCACTCCAGATTATCAGGTGACTGGAATGTAGAAAATAATTACTATGCAAAGACCTTGAGAATTTAGGTCACCTTTTTGATGCACATTTGCAGTTAGCCTAATCTTCAGGAGGGCTTAGGTGAAAAACAGAAGAGGACAATTCACCCACTGTGCTGGTATTGTCTGAGGATATTCAGCTCCTGACGCTAATTAGTGTTTCACATTTCCCCCGGGTTCATGTCCACAAGAGATGTCAGCACAGGTAATGGTTGAGGATCAGTTTCTATATACAGAGAATTCACAGGGGGAAAAATATCTGCATTCCTACATGGTTTTTGGCTCGGACATAAAGTTAAAATACCTTTTTTGTTACAGAACACAGAAATGTGAGGAACCAGAAAAAGATTCCTCACACTTGCACACCTCATTTCAAGTGATTCAAACGGTTTTTCAGTAAATATATATTGAATAGGCTGTCAGATGGGTCCTTAGGTCCCCCAAAGACTTTTCCCCTCATCCTTGTCTGTTGTGAGTTGGGTTGGAAACTACTGATCTACTGAAAGATTCTTCGGGGGCAGTGCTTCTCAAATCAGTCCTCAGGAACCCCCAGACAACCCTCAGGAGTTTTGCTCCAACCTAACTTACAACACACAAGGATAGAGCAAAAAATGTGGACCATCTGCAGGTGCCTGAGAACCTGTTTGAGAACCACTGCTTTAGGAACCCGAAACGTTCTTCTTCTTTGGAATCCAACGACTAAATGAGAAATTAAAGATCTTTATTGAAGGCCCTCAAACTGACTTCATGACCAAAACCTATCTCCATTTACCACAGATAGACCCTGTTCACAGCTGGCATTAACATTCTTCCTGAATAAACCGCTCATAAGCGGACAGCGCAAACTACTGGTGTAAATGGGGCCCCACGTGTCTTGTAGACGCACTGTGATTCAATAACTCAAGCTACCTTTTAAGGGGGTCGGGTGTATATGAGCAGACAAGCATCCTGTTGCATCCTCAACAGTGTTGAAGAGCCACCTGAACAACTGCTTCTCTATATGTTTGTAGTCCATCCAATCTAAGAATGAATGTATAATAAAGTCTATGTATAAGTTAACTGTATGAATAAAATGCAGTGCTAAATATCAAACTGAAATATTTAAACAATGTATATGTAATTAAGCACCTTTTAGTGCTACAAATATGTTGGACAAAATATACAGATATACATTCTTATGCAAACGTTTAGATGTCCGTGATCAGACTGCATATTTTTTGGATTTCCTATTTGCAAATAACACGCTCTACATGGAACTTAATATGGTATATTTCTGCTAATTTTATTTCAATTTCAAATTATTATTTTTATTTCAAATCTGCCGAATGTAATGTTGGAAAAAGAGCATAAAATGTAGCACGCCACTTTTGCACATACCACATTTTATGTTTTATTTTCTTCCAATATGTTAAACTCAAGCAAATCTATAGTAACTATGCATTAAAACATGCAGAAGGGCTGTGCTTTACTATTTTCACTCAGAAAATCAACCTAATCTTACTAGGGGTACATAAACCTCTCCTTAAGATAACATATATACAAAAATACACTTTGTTTGTGTTATATATACGTTTATTTTATATTTACATTAATGTTTCTAGCACACATGCTCTGCCACTTTACCTGAAAATATGAACAAACATTATCTCTAAAATGAAGAATATTTTAATACTTTATTTCATGTTTGATTTCAGCGTCGCTCCAAAAGTGTTTTGCTGCTTATTTCCAGTACCGCAGCCTGTTTCGCACATGCACAGACTGAGAAATCCGAAAGAAATCAGAGTAAGAGTTTATGTACTGAGAAATCTGATTACTGAGCTAAAATCCAGCTCTCTTTATTGGATTCTAGACCTTACTCTGATCTTAAAAAATCAGAGTATGCTGTTTACATGACCATTTGAACAATCGGATAACTGCAGAAACCCGATTATGAACAGATTATTGAGTGCATGTAAACGCACTCATCGATATGTTCTGCAAGGATAATTATAATGGTTACAGCAAAATTTCACGTTGGAATTGAATACGATGATGCAATGACTTGGTTGCTGTGGCTCCTCTTGCCAGTCTGTCAGCAGAAAGTCCAGCCTATGACTGAATAAAATGCCCAGCCCTCAAACACACCCCTATAGCAAGAGGTGTTAGTTAACTAAGCACAAGTGAAGATGTTGATTCGAAGCTAGTCAGCCTTACATTCTTAGCAACAAAGCTATTAGCAGATGAATTTGCAAGAGATTTAGTGCATCTGTTTGATTTCTAGATGTGCTTGGTGTATTTATCAAGACATTCAGCTTGATCTTTCAGACAGTTTATGCTGTGGTTCCATTATGACCAAATGCTTTGTGTAGCCAAGAAACAAAATGCACTGGAATCTCACTGTGAATCTCTGCCTCATTTTCAAACAAATTTTAGGTAGCTGTGATTTGCTCCAAAAAAATCAATATCCTTGAAGAAAGATAACTAATTCACCAGCAGCTATGTCTAGATGAATTCAAGGCAATATATCCTCACAGCAGACACATACACAACGCAGTATGTAAGTACTGGACAGTGACATTTTGTTGTTGTTGTGTTTTGGCTCATAGTCACTTCTAATATCCTCATCTTGAGAGTAAACAGTAACAGATTAGCTTTGTGCAGATATCACAGATTATCCAGAATCAAATGTGGACAAGGGGTGGGCAATATGACAATATTTTATCCTATTGTGATAAACTATGTTACAACATATCACAGTATGCATTTCTGAGCACATTGTGGATATCATAAGTACTTAAAGAGCACAGACCAATTTATAGTCTTGCATTTAGAATTCATGTGTTTGTATGCATCATTTTACACACTGTGCTGCACTAAATCCAATTAAACAGGACTAATTATGCTGTCTTCGTAATCAAACATCCAGCTGGCAAATGTTTTTTTAAGTCCTGATAAGCATATTGTGAAATACTGTGATGTAATTTATCACTATAATGATAAATATTGTCATAATGCCCGGATATACTAACTTATTTTTTCAGATTTATGACTATTTTACCATCATCAACATTACATATAAAAACACAGGAGACACACATAGGATTATTGGTCATTTTGGATAGTAAATAAAATGGCTATATTTGTGTTGTAGACATGGCGATGCCTGGTTCCTATCACCACCAGTGTAAAGAAAGTTAGTTAATTCCTGTAAATCACACCATTTCAAATTAAACCACTTTGAATGCCTTTGTTTACATCTAAATGACTGAATTATGCAGATATTTTGTAAAACTGGTAAAATTTCACTGACCCTCATTGTCTCACTGTCCAGTTAGTCATATACTACAGCAAATAAATCAAGTTTGGAATCTCACGTACTGAGTAGCGCTAGGCGATTAATCAAATTTTATTTGCAATTACAATTTTGGCTTCCAAAGATTATGAGAACAAGATAATCAAGATAAAACGACTATTGTGCTGCATTGTGTCTCTTGTTTTGTCTTGTGATATAAGTCTAACCCCTTTCCTTTACACCCCTGTATAAAACCCATTGAATTTATTTTGGTCTAACTTTATTTGTATTTATTATTTTATATGTTTCGTAGTTTTCGGCAGGTTGTGGAAGTAAATTACAACATAATTGATCATATTCATTTTTATGTATTATTTTTATATTATTTATTTAATGTATATCTATTTGTTATCTTTCATACGTTTTTAATCTTTTTAATTTAAGTACATTGAAAGTTCAAGGAAGTCCACTGTTAAAATGACAACTTTTTTTTCAAATGTTCAACAAATGTATGATGTTTCCAAAGTCAGTGAGTAATTATGATCTCGACATTGACCAAAACAATCGTGATTATGATTTCTGCCATAATAGGGCAGCCCTATCACTGAGTGAACTTCAGTAACAGACTTTGGGGAAGAAGTTTCATGGGAGCAGCACTTTCAGCCAATAGCATAATCCCTCCGTCCACTGCAGTCTCCTCCTCATAGCCTGGGGGATATAAATCACGTCCAAACCTGCGGACTTCGCCTCAGACTGACCAGGCACTCACACACGCCCCCCAAACATGCTGGACTCGCTAACGTTTCTCCTCGAGAAGCTTTTTCTTCTCACTAACTTCCACGTGTTCAACAAAAAGTCGTGGTCGGCGGACGAGTGCGGACCGAAAACAACGACAACAGCGCCCCCCTTCAAGAGAGGCGACCTGCTGGAAGTGCAGCGCACTCTCTTCATCCACTTTGGCATCTACCTGGGGGACAACAAAGTGGCTCACCTGATGCCGGACATCATGCCGGTGCTGACCAACGATCAGAGGCTAATCACGACGGTGGTGACCAACAAGAGGCTCATTCTGGGCTGCATTTACAGGAACGCGAGCATACGAGTCGACTCGGTGGAGGACTTCGCGTACGGCGCCAGCATCCTGGTCAACGACATGGACAGGAGGGTGAAAACGCCGGCCATGTCGAACGAGGACGTGGCCAGAAGAGCCGAGAAGCTCGTCGGGGCCATTCCGTACAGCTTGCTGTGGAATAACTGCGAGCATTTTGTCACTTACTGCAGATACGGGACACCTGTGAGCCAGCAGACGGAGAAGGTAAAGACGCTGGCTAACTTAGTGTTTACATTCTTGAGGCAATTCTAGGCTGGATCTCAAATCTCCCCCTTACTCCCTACGTAGTGCGCTAGGTAAGTTGGCTAATAGACATAAAAAGTGCACTAAATGTTCAATGGGGAGTCTTACAGTTTATGACTCGATCCCAAATTGCTTTCTTTTAGACATACGTTGCGCTCTTTGGATGCAGAAGTTATTATTTTATGACCTGCGTAGTGCACTACATGGGGAGTAGGGAGCCATTTGAGATTCAGCCCTAATAGTGCTGTAAGTCCTGCTAGTTTTAGTCCTCCTGGCTAGGTTTGCTTTGAGCATATTCCAGTTGGCTCTTCGTTGCCCATTTAGTGCACGGTAAATAAGCCACTTATTTCATTCCCTCTGTAGAGCACTTTGTAGTCAGTATGGGGTCATTTGAGATTCTGAAGTTAATGTTAGATGACATACTAGTCCAGGTCTTCCTGAATGATGCCCAATACAGGTGTTTGTGTGTTTTTTTAAAGTTAATTTACTACGCAGACCATCAAAGACCGTTTGCGCACAGCAAAAGAGACTTTTCTCAGATAATATTATGTAAAGGTCCAATAAGTGCACTTCATTAAGTAAGCATTGATACAAGTAGAACAAAACATGAACCCCGTATGTGGAAAAATCAGTTAATTCTGCCAAATGTAGGCAGTCACCCTTACAACAACACAATTCAAAGGTCAGAAGATTCATAATTTGGTGCTATTTGTCAAAAGTACCTTATTGGTCAATAGGTCATTGACATGTTTTCTCTTTGTCTTTTCAGTTCTGTAATTGTCTGAAAATGGCCATCCGTGACCAAAGAAGCGTGCTTCTGACTGTCCTTCTGGGAGTGATGTCCATCGTGTGCTTTGGCCTGGCACCCTCGACTACATTACCCACAATCCTAATACCCTTCACTCTATGGATGGCTGGCTGAGCTGCTCTTTATAGACTACAGACATGAAACACTAGTCTCCAAATGGACTACTGATGATAAAGCATTACAGCAGCCTCTGACCCTGTCTAAACTGTCATTCAGTTTGATCATAGAGCCAAGCGATGCTGACATGTGGTTTGTATTTTTGGTGCAATTTGCAGTTACAGTACTTGATAGCTCATAGTTATATTCCATAAGCAAGGAAGACTGTACAGCCTCATAAAGATGCACACTGAAAGTAACGTTTCAAGAGAAGTCCAAAAGAAGTGGTGCCAACACTGAGAGCGGATGGAATGTAAGAATGGTAAAGTGCCTTATTTATATGACGGTGGATGTCATATTGCTTTACTCTGTGTATAGATCGCCATGTAAGACATGTATTTGCACACAATCATCTTTATTTTTTTAAGCACTGACACAAGTTGACTGTAAATCTGTATTGTAAAGTAGTGTACATTTTAAATGTTGAATTCTTGTGTAGTATAATAAAAGAAAAAACTTTGTATTTACTTTGAAGTTCCTTAGAATTGAAGTGTTGAGTATTAAATGCACATATGAATCCAAAATTATTAAAAGAAAAAGGTTCTGAGAAGAAGAGGGTTCTGTGTAGCACCATAAAAAGGTTCTATATAAGTTGTAACAATAGCAGAACCCTTTGTATTCGCCAAAAAAATAATATAAAAAGGGACCATCATCATAAGCTGAATTGATGGAATTGGCTCCAATTCTGTAATCAACAGTCAATCCCCACAATCTTGCCAGCACCCCTTACTGATTTAGAGTGTTTAAGCTTTGCTCAGAGCTGACTGAACATAAAAAGACCACATAAACATAATCCAAGCAGTCAGTTATTGACATCACCCATTTCTTGTTTATTCTAAACACAACACTTGGGAGTTAAAAATAATAGTTTAGCAAAAAGAAAAAAATCTGGTTCACACAAGTTCCTCCTTACCTCAAATGTAGTCGACCAGCCAAGAGATGTGTCTGAAGTTTGCTTCTTTAATAGAGCTAATGTAGCTAACAAGTAATGAGAGCTAGCACCTGAACAATTAGCATTGTACCTAAATCATTACACACATCCCTCAAACCATGTCAAGTTGTTGAATTTCAAACAGATTTGCTTTTATGATTTCCAACACTATGATATTGTTATCTATAAAAAAGATACAAATGTACAGACCCAACTCAAGCTCCAAGATGGTGGCTAGCACTTAGCTATTTAGCTAGATTGCATGCATTTTTATTATTATAGATAACAGTATGTCAAACAGTGTCAAAAAAACACATAAGCAAGTCTACTGGAGATTCTTTATCATCAAAAATGTAATATAGTTTGATGCAGGTGCTATGTGTAGTTGGGGTGTAAGTTTCCATCACTTGTTAGCAAAATTAGCCTCGTAGCTCCAGTGCAAAACCATAGAAGCTAAATTTCAGATACCAAACATGTCTTGGCGGACCAAAAAAACATACGGGATAACGGGGAATGATTTTTCATCAAAACATTTGAATAAGATGGATTTCACAGTGATGTTGGGAGCTCTACTGGAGCCATGAGATCTACACAAACATCAGAGCTAAGACAACAGTGGGATAATAAATTACCTTTATTTACAATGCAAATCTGCTGTAAGCTGATTGCATTTTGACAAAGGCCCTGCTGGGTGTCTAATCTGCTTTGGAAGGGTCTTTGGGACTTTAAAGTTCCCTAGGTCCAGAGTCCACAGGTCATCTATTGCCTTTGCTGACCAACTGAATACAGCAGAGATGATTCTAAGGCAGGCTTTATTAGCAGGATACTACACCGTGTAAAAATAGATCATTTTCAAATGGATATTTAAGAAATGCAGCACGAAACACAACTGAACCCACTCCTGGAAGGTCAAAGATTTGACTACTTCAATTGGATAATTAAGATATTTATTGTGTGTAGGGATATTATATTGATTTTCATAAAACAAGGGTCCACTTATGGTGGACCAGTGAATAGAATAGTGTGAATAGTAAGCAAGCATCATACAATCAGCACTAGATTGTAATGTCTATGTGAACCCCTATTAAAATGGCCAAGGCCCACTGGCGGGTCCAAAGTTTTATTACATACTTCTATAGCCTAAGAATACCTCAGCCAGTTTGCATTAAAGTCCCTGTAGTTACTTAATAATAAACCCTAGTATGTAGTAAGCCTGGGACTGTAAGGGGTTAAAAACAAAAAAGCTCCCTCACAAAGAAAGTATTACACAAAATGGTTGTTGATACGCCGCTAAACACCTGAGACATTGTTTTACGATAGTTTTGTTTTTTTATTTTTGGCCTATAACCTATTTTTAAAATACATTCGAGGTGAAGGGGTACATGCATGTCATTTTAAGGCAAAATCGTCCCCAGAGAAAACTTTTTTTTATATTTTCCACTATTTTACTACACTCAATATTACATATAAAACTAAGAAGACTTGTGTAGGTTCACGGGTGGTTTTGGATAGTAAATAAAATGGTTATATTTGCACTGTAGATATCACAACCCCTGGATCCTATCCCCACCACTGTAAAGAAAATAAGATGATAAATAAAAAAACAGAAAAATAAAAGAGTTGATTAATTTCTCTATAATGAACCATTTCACAAACCACTCTAAATGACATTGTCTACATCTCCATTGAATCATACAGAAATTGTGAAAAATTGGTGGAATTCTCCTTTAAACAGTGTCTAGTCAGGGCTGGTCTTTCCCATACCTCTTGCAAATAAGCCTCTTTGAACAGGCTTTTCCCAACCTTTGTTATGACTGCGAAACCCCGCCCCCAATCCAAAGACTAGATCACAGCCAATCAAATGAATGTGAAAGATCTCCAACTACATGTTCACTCGGTCATGTTGACAACTTAGCATTCCACCCACAAACAGTCCTGATCAGTCCAGCCTGCTCGTTGTGCAACACAGCAGGCCTTATTAGTCTCATCTCTACAGTGCAGCCTGTGACAAAACTACATAGACATCCACATTTTTTGGTGCCTAAGAGAAGCTGATTTCCTTTTCAGCAACAAATAAAGTGTCTAACCTGTAAAATCTTACAAAATCAAGTTGTTGCTGTCAACATATGATGCATATGTGTCCTGTTCACTCTGAATCATCAGCCTTATTTTAAAGGCCCCCTCTACAATCTTAAAAATGAAGTTCCTAAATGGTTCTTCGATTGGACGTACAGTTCTAAGAAAAAAAAAACCATTAATTGGTAGAATCTTAACATTATGCAGATGTTCTATGAATGTGATTCTTTTACGAAGTATCTATTGAAAGGTTCTTTAAGGGAACCAAAAATGGTTCTTCTATAGGGCTCCAAGAAACCCTTTACTTTGAAGAGTGTAGATGCTCACCTTATAACTTACATTCAGCTATCCTAAAACATCAACCCAACATTGAAACCTACACTTAATCCTTGTTTGTCTCTTAGAAATAAACAGGCTATTACTGTATCTTTAAAACTGATATATGCCAATAAGGTCTGATTGGCTGTATTGTCCCTATATTGTGCCTCATTCAAAAAGCAGTCCAGACTGAAACACTCCTTATATCTTCAGCATGAATTGGCAGGGCTAAACTGCTGTAGGGGTGGACTGGGGAGTGAATGATAAGCTTAACTACAATACCCAGCATGCATTAAACAAATATATCATACAACCACTGGGAATCCAGTCTCTCCCCCACCTTTGTCTTCCCAGCATAATTGCTAATTTTCTGGGTTCCTTCTACGAAGTTCATGAGGGTGGTGCAAAACTGAAAGCACCCATTTTTGTCTGCAAAGTTCGTCCAGCTCCCATGTGCGTGACATGCAAACGAAACCTCCGTGCAACATCTGCGGTTGTTAGTTTCCTCCACAATTACAAGAAGCATGCTGAGGCTTTTAACTTTAGCCAGTTCCACACTTAAAAAGATGCTTCTTCAAGGGTTCTTTAGTGAAGTAAATGGTTCTATATAGAACCATGAACACTTAAAGAATTCTTTGCATGATTAAATGGTTCTTTGCATTGTGAAAGTGTTCTTCAGATTGATGGAGAATGTGCTTTAGATGGTTCTATATCAAACCTTTTTGAAAAGGGTTCTATATGGCACCACAAATCGTTCTTCTATTATTACAATCTTGACACTGTAACAATATAAGAACATTTCTACCATATACAGAAGATTCTCCATCAATCTGAAGAACCATATCATAATGCAAAGAACCATTTAATCATGCCAAGGGTTTTTTGAGGGTTCATGGTTCTATATAGAACCATTTTCTTTACTAAAGAACCCTTACTCATCTTTTTTTAATAGTGTAGAGCTAGATCTAAAAGAAAGAACATTTCAAAACCCGTCTTGAAGTGTTAGCCCCAAAGCCCCTCCAGACACACCATCCAAAGGGGGCTAGTCATTAAACCAGAAATTCTCTTTCTAGTGACTACACTGGCACAGATGCAGGAGGTGAATAAACATATTTACAACAAAATAAGGATGACAAAAAGAGCACCATACAAGAACCAGTTCTGTTTTGCTAAAGAACCTTCCAATTAGGGGTGGGTGATATGGCAAAAGTGTGACATCATAATACTTTAACTACATTTTACAGTACTCGATATGTATCATAATAGTTAGTTTTCTGGTTTGGTAAACAGAACCAGCAGTGCCACATTCCACTTCCAATTAAGTATAAAGAATCTTTTTAACCTTTAAGAAACCACCACATAATATAAAACTTCTACCCATTAAAGGTTTTTCCTAGAGCTGTGTATTATACTATGATTCAAATTCCTCAAATTAATCCCTATCCTTTCTAAAGATGAGGAGATCACAGAACACAGTCTCTAATAGTGATTCAGGATGACTTTGCTTCGTATCATTCGAAAAAACCGATTCAGGTTCTGAGGTTATGTCCGTTCAGGGCTTCCATAATCCCGCCACAGGAGTAAAACATGTTCTTGACGCAACATTATACAAAGGTGATCTTAAACATCATCAGGAATCTGAAAGTTAACATGTGCTGCAACCACTTAAAAGCTGAAGTATAATGCCCATGTGACGCACCTTTAACTCTACTCTTTTTAAGCACTTTCCCGTGTTTGTTTTTAAATCCGAAAACGGATTTCCACTCTAGATGGAATGTACATCCAGTAAGTATTCTATGTAGGTAAAGCATATGTTCAAATAGCAGATTATGGCTAATCTTACTACAAAGTGTAAACATGTTGGCTGCAGTGACAGAAACGCATGTGAAATTCAGCACACGTGCTATGCAGGCTGCAAGTTCTAGGGTTAAATGATATTGACCCAGAAGATTAAGAGCTGATCCTTCAAAGAAAACTGAAATACACACTGAAATGGATGTGTGTCTGGCACCAGACGGGCCATTAGTACACCCTACAGCGGTAAATAATGCATTGCAGAACACTGAAAAGTTTACAGACTTTTACACTGATAATCCAAAAGAGTAAAAAAAGAGAATAA